TTGTTTTTAAAACCTTTCTTTGCCTTTTAACGTTGGGTAATCTGTTCAGCGAGCCACCTCATTATAACGCTGCCATTGGCGATTATGCTTTTGTTTGGTTATTTTTGTAATAAAGGTAAAAAGGGAAGATAGAGAGTGGGAGGGGAGTGGGAGTGGGAGGAGTGGGAGGGGGAGGGGAGTAGGAGTAGGAGTGGAGTGTGGAGAGGGAGTGGAGAGTGCGAGGGAGAGGGAGAGGAGAGAGAGGGAGAGAGAGAGAGAGAGAGAGAGAGAGAGAGAGAGAGAGAGAGAGAGAGAGAGAGAGAGAGAAACAGGCTATCGTCTTTGCTTTATTTGATACGCTCAAAATTTCTCGTGACCTTTCATGTCAATCGACTTTTGCGAGCACTCAATCCAAGGTTTCACCAAGTTGTGTATGTATATGTATATAATATATATATATATATATATATATATATATATATATATATATATAATATATATATATATATATATATGTATATATATATGTATATATATATGTATATATATATGTAAATATGTAAATATGTAATATATTTATATACATACATAGATACATATATATACATATATATATATATACATACATACATATATATATATATATATATATATATATATATATATATATATATATATATATATATATGATATGTGTGGTGTGTGTGTGTGTGTGTGTGTGTGTGTGTGTGTGTGGTGTGCGCGCGGTGCGTGTGGATGGTGTGCGGCGCGTGCGTGTGTATATATATATATATATGTATATATATGTATGCATGTATATATAACTTCTTGTTACCGTCCATCTGAGTATTGTCATAAGCATAATCATCACAGGCTTGTGCGCACAAAGCAGCCTCCGACCGCTGTGTCGACCAACATGATCTAAGTTCTAACGACATCCTCGTGCTAACAATACACGCGGTCGTTGTCATGTGCGTCGTGTTCGCTCGGGATCTACCTGGCGCGCGAGTGGTAATTCCGTAATGATGATGATTAGATTAATTAAGGTCCTTGCTCTTCCAGCTGTTAGTTACGCTTATGGCTTGCTGTTGCCGCCGACGTTGGTGCGAATCGGGAAGAGGAGGAAATGTGATAATTTTTTTTCGAAATCTTTTTATTATGTATGTATGTACAATGTATTTATGTAAATGTATGTATGTATGTATGTATGTATGTATATCTCTCTTCCATGCCCTCCCCTGATACCGGGGCCAAGAATGTGGGGGTTTTGGGGTTACTGTGCAAAATATCCGTTTAATATGGGTAGTTGAGGGCGAGAGGAATCCATCGGTTATGCTAAGGTATTCTGAATATTTACTATTTTCTGTACATTAAATCATATGTTTGTATATATTTTTATACTGTTTATTGGTTTTATTTATTATAACTAGAACATATTTAGTTCATAAAGCAGTTGATCTGTTGATATGTCTTAAAGCACACATCCTTATACCCACACACTTATACTTGCACACATCACTAGCATCCTACCACACACACACTCACACTTATACCCACATACACTCACTAGCACATAAACCTACACACAAACCCACTCACGCATAAAGCTACATAAACCTACACACATTCACACACTCGAGAATAAAGCTACACACATACACCCACTCACGCGTGAACCTGCACACACACCCACACACTTATATACATCCACACACCCGCGCACATGCACACACATTTGCAATACGCTCATCATCACACTTCATATAAAGAGGCTTTCCCGCGTAAAGGAACGTAAGAGGCTTATTATATGATGGCGTCTGCACACTTCGCGTTTCCGTTTTACGTATTATGCAATATTAAGCAAATATTTTCTTCGATTCTTTCATTTTATTGTTTATATTTTTTTGAAATTTATTTTTTTGGATTTTAGTGTTGGTTGTTGGCTTTTTTTGTTTGGCATTTTTTTTTTTGTGTGTTTTTTCTTAATTTAGTTGTAATTTTTAATCTAGGATAAAAAAGAGCAATGCCACATTTTTTCGATCAGATTTGCTGTGGAGTGTTCCGTGAAGTTTTGTGGTAATTGGCCCTTTTCGCTTATCTCATTAACTTTGCTTTCCTATTTCCTGGTTTTGTTAAATGGTAACTTTTTAGATTTGTCTAAGGGAAGTTCGCAATTTTCTTTCTTTTTTGTGTGGGATTTGATTTCGATTCTTCTTGTAATCAGTCTTGTATTTCGTGTTTATTTTATACTGACGTATTTTTTTTTCATTCTGTTAAAGGAAATTTATTCACGTTTTTTTTTATTTATTTTTGTGAACGTTTTCATATATTCGTGAAAATTTTCGTTCATTGTGTTTCATTTTCATCGACTTATATTTTCAGTTATGTTTATTCCCATGTTTATAGACATTTATCGTTTTCTAGAACGGACTTTCATTCTCGTTTTTTTTGTTTTTCCTTATGACCATTCGCTTTTCATATATTATGGAATTCTTTTTATAAATACGCTTTCATCGCCATTTTAAGATAACACTTCTAAACTGCACTTTTATTACACGTTAGGCAGTATCTGAAGCATTCAAATAATACTTTCATATTTTTTCTTTTTTTTTTTCTCCAAATTCTCTCGTAAGCGTAGTTTCAGATTTATTTTCTTCTTCACAAAAGCGCAATTTCCCAAAACCTCATTTCATTTGCGTGTCTTTTTCCCCTTTCATACCATAAGAAATAAAATTCCTACCACGAAATGTCTGAGAGGTAACGAGCATATATATATTTTTTTATCATTTTCTTTTCTTTCATTCTTACTTATTTTCGTCTTTTCTTTCGAACAGTGTTTATATCTGTCTTTTCCCGTCTGAAGATGACATTTTGACATCTGTTGATATATCTTAAATCACACATCCTTATACTTGCACACATATACCCACATACACTCACCAGCACATAAACCTACACAAACCCACTCACGCATAAAGCTACATAAACCTACACACATTCACACACTCGAGAATAAAGCTACACACATACACCCACTCACGCGTGAACCTGCACACACACACCCACACTTATATACATCCACACACCGCGCGCACATTTGCAATACGCTCATCATCACACTTCATATAAAGAGGTTTTCCCGCGTAAAGGAACGTAAGAGGCTTATTATATGATGGCGTCTGCACACTTCGCGTTTCCGTTTTACGTATTATGCAATATTAAGCAAATATTTTCTTCGATTCTCATTTTATTGTTTATATTTTTTGAAATTTATTTTTTGGATTTTAGTGTTGGTTGTTGGCTTTTTTGTTTGGCATTTTTTTGTGAATGTTCTTTTTTCTGAATTTAGTTGTAATATTTAATCTAGGAAAAAAGAGCAATGTCACATTTTTTCGATCAGATTTGCTGTGGAGTGTTCCGTGAAGTTTTATGGTAATTGGCCCTTTTCGCTTATCTCATTAACTTTGCTTTCCTATTTCCTGGTTTTTGTTAAATGGTAACTTTTTAGATTTGCCTAAGGAAGAAGGATTTTCTTTTTTGTGTGGGATTTGGTTTCGATTCTTCTTGTAATCAGTCGTACTTCGTGTTTATTTTGTACCGACGTATTTTTTTCAATCTGTTAAAGATTTTTTTTAAATTTATTTTGTGAACGTTTTCATATATTCGTGAAAATATTCGTTCATTATAGGCATCTTTTCCGGCGGTTACGGGGAACGCGACAACTCTTGCGCGACAGGAATCGAGCAGACGGTTAACTTTTAAATGAGTTGCCAGATGCAGTCCTCCTACTTTGGATATTTCATGCATATACGTGCTTATATTGGATATCTATAACATTACACTACCCACCATAAGATATCAAAAGCCATTTTGGATATCATATTCCAAAATGCTGTTTACCTGTTGGAAAAATAACCAGTACAGTAAAATTGCAAGCCGTCAACTGCGTTTATTCCCATTACGTCACAGAAATGGGCGGAGCTTAGAGGCCTGTCTCGTGATAGGTGTCGCGGAGCGTTTCGCGACCCTAATTGCCACCGGAAAAGATATCTTATGTTTCATTTTCATCGACTTATATTTTCAATTATGTTTATTCCCATGTTTATAGACATTTATCGTTTTCTAGAACGGACTTTCATTCTCGTTTTGTTTTGTGTTTTTCCTTATGACCATTCGCTTTTCATATATTATGGAATTCTTTTTATAAATACGCTTTCATTCCCATTTAAAGATATCAATTCTAAACTGCACTTTTATTACACGTTAGGCAGTATCTGAAGCATTCAAACAATACTTTCATATTTTTTCTTTTTTTTTCTCCAAATTCTCTCGTAAGCGTAGTTTCAGATTTATTTTCTTCTTCACAGAAGCGCAATTTCCCAAAACCTCATTTCATTTGCGTGTCTTTTTCCCCTTTCATACCATAAGAAATAAAATTCCTACCACGAAATGTCTGAGAGGTAACGAGCATATATTTTTATTAAATCATTTTCTTTTCTTTCATTCTTACTTATTTTCGTCTTTTCTTTCGAACAGTGTCTATATCTGTCTTTTCCGTCTGAAGATGACATTTTGACATTCCTCTAATTTTTTTTCTTGTTTCTCATCATTTACTTCTATTTTCTTTCTACATATCATCAGCCAGCCACATCGACGAATTTCGTTTGTGTCTTTCAAATACCGCTTTTCCATTATATATTGCCTTATTCTTGCTTAGTGTCCTTCATATGTATTTTTTCAGGTTATTATGGAGATTTTTTCTCGACTTTCTCGTAGACAGCTGACACACACTCACACACACACACACACACACACACACACACACACACACACACACACACACACACACACACACACACACACACACACACACACACACACACACACACACACACACACACACAAACACAAACACACGCACAACCCAAATCCGAACACACACGAACACGAACACGCAACCGCACATCAATATACCAAATACTTTCTTTTCAAACCATTCTTTCACTTC